TCAATCTTGAATGTCTATTTCGAAAATCGTTGTTCCGGCACAAAAAGCAAGTTTTGGTAAAATCCGTTTACTATATTTTGATTCTAATGGACCGACATCCAAACTATACACACCACCTTTGAAGTATTTGATCATAGCTAAAGTCTGTAGAAATAAAAAGTACATTGTTAAATTTTCTTGAAATAAGAGCAATCGATTTTCCTGTCGAATAATATAATATGAATGTGCAAATCAATAAATATCAAAAAATATCAATAAATATCAATAAATATTCTGCATTTAAAATAGATCTTTGAATATTTTCTCATTATATTAATAAATCTTTTTCTGAATTAATATCGAATTTTTTAATTACGAATGATTGTAATAAAAATTTTTAATAAATTAAATTTCTAATTAAATTTGACATAATATTTCTTTTTTAAAATATCAATATATAATCGTTGTCTTCTTCTATTATTTATTAATAATACTAATGTTAAATATTCTTTAAAATCATATATAAGGAGTTTTTTAAATAATATATTATACAATAGAATGCATTAATAATGCTTAATGCATTCACATTTATGAAAATATTTTATCTTCCAGTTCTTTTGTTTTTTTTTTGCAAACAAAATACTAAATGTAAACACATTAATGCACTTATTTGTGAAATAGTAAAAAATTTTGTCAAACTTACAGAATGAGACTGTAAATCGACGATCCTGAAGAGATCAATATCGCATCCACCGCATGCAACATACAAATTTGTTACATATTTTCCAACGTACAACAGAGAAGAATAACTGTCCGGCTCCAAAGTGGCAATCAACTTGCCACTACCGTAGTCCCATAATTGCAAAGGATTTTTTCTTGCCAGGAACAAGTAAGAATCTGCATATAAGTGATTTGTATATTGTTTAATACATATAATTCTTAGATTTATTAACACACACAGTATTTGATATAAATGTGTCGATTAATTGTAGGTGTAAAATATAAGTTTAAACATCTAAACCTCTTTTCCATTTTGGCTGATATCAAGACCGTCACCGCACATATGTACATCTGATATAAATCGAAGAGAATGAGCTTGTCTGGTATCCCAAAATTGGATAGTGTTATCCCAACCCGCACTTATTAGTTCATATGAAGATTGGGGATTGAAGCAAGCGCTAAAAATTCTGGATTTATGACCGTCCATGACATCTGGTGCATCACTGTAATTGAAAATTATAGGATATTATATTAAATATACTTTTTATATTATATTATATAACATATAGCGATATTTATATAACATATAGTAATATTTTTCTAGAGGAAGAAAAACTTCCAAATTTTATCCAAGAATATTTATTTTCATGATAATTACCTTCTGCGAAATACTCTTTCTCGTGTCTTTGTTTCTTCATCATATAAGTATAAATTCGTATTGTTCCCAACAGTGACAAACTTCGGTAATTGAGGATGGTAAGCTAAACCGAGCGTTTGCCGCCTTTCTCGTATCGTATAAAGACATTGCGCAGTTGGATAATGCCAGCATTTAACGCAACCATTAGCATCTACATAAGTAATATTTATGTGAACATAAAATATCGTTTTAACAAATAGATTTCAGATTGATGATATTTAATAATTATATAAATCACAATCTTTTAATAATTTTTTTTAAGTGCTACAGTTTGCCATGTTCAATATTCAATATTAGTTTTTAGATATCTTTCTTTACAATTTTATAAACTCAATCAAATATAATTAAAGTGAGAAACAAAATAATTTAAAGTAGTTTTTTCTATTTATTTTTAAATAAAATAAATAAATTTTTTAGATAATGAAAAGATTTTTTTTATTTTATTTTGTACAATTATTATTCTACCTTTAGAAAAATAAAATATTGAATTATTTTTTATTTCGATATCATCCCATAAACACATCAATATATAAATTTGTTTTTAGAATCTTGTTCACATAATTTGATGGCAATCTTAACAGAGCTTTTTTAAAAAGAATTTTAATTATTTCCAAAATAAATAATTTGCATTTTATTAATTAAAATAATAAGCGAAATAAGAGACTAACAAGTCGCTATTACGGTATGGGTGATTGGATATGATCTGTGTACAGGTCTATGTTTTACAGCAGTCACCGGAGCCGGATTCTGCATCATTTCTACGTCGCATAAGACCAACGTATTCTCTCCTGTGCTAACTTTGTAGAACTTTAAATTTCCGTCTGTCAATCCTGCCACCAAAAAATCGTAAGTTTCCGTATAGCAGATGCAAAACACATCTTGATTAACTTCCCTGCAAACTGTTCACTTTACAAATTATTTCGAATAGATATAGTTGTGCAATATAAATCTGTTTAAAATTAGATATAGGACAAATTTCTTTTTGTAGGAAAATCGTTTATAACTTTATATTTCTATCATTAAAAAATAAATCATAAATGACAAAAGAAATTGTTTTATATTTGAGCGTAAAATTATATTACAAATGATTCTCTTTCGTTGAAAAAAATTCAAATCTTTTAAAGTTGTGAAGTCAATATAATATTTTTACATAAATATGTAAAAATTCTACCTACAATTGATTAATAACATTGATATTTCCAATTAATTCGTAACGTCGCTCGATATTTGTGGTTTGTTTCGACGCTGAAGAAGGAATATATTGCTCATGAGTGACAACAGAACGTGCTACCGAACGTGTAGACGTTGTATCTACTTCAATCTCGTTGGCATGATCTTGGATGATCGAATTAACGGTCATATGAGAGGATTGCTCATCATTTTTATTTTTATCCATCTAAGCAAAAAATCAAAGTTGTTAATTTTATCAGAAAGCTGCTCTTTTTTGACAAAACATTGAAAAATTATTACTAAAACAAAGATAATAAAATAAAATAATTACAAAAACTATTCTTATTAAAAATACATAATTTTATTTTATCATTGTCTTAGAACAAATGCAGAAACATTACATGGCAAAAGTATTTCTTTCATAAGATAAATTAAAAATTTTTATTTGTTAACAGAATAAAACCAAAATTATTAATTATTTTTCTTAAAAAGTTATGTCTCAAAAGCGCTGCTTTATACAAATTATATTGCAAAAGCATTACTTTTTAAAAATAAATCAGATTAATAGGATATATAGAATATAAAAAAAAATATATATATATGTATAAATAAGTAGAATATTGTTATTCTATTATTAGTCTATGATAATATTATTGCCAAATATTAATCTTATTACATACTTGTATGAAAATACTTTTCACTCAATATGACTGCAGTTCGTAAAATATAAATGTAGTTTGATATATCATTTATGTGAATAAAATTTTATATAAATTTTATATCATAAAACTTTGATTTAATTCAGAAATTTGTCATGTTTGGATCAAAAATTAACCTTGGCTCATTTTAAAACTGAAATTTCAATTACGATTTCTGACATATTAAAAATTCAAAACGACAATCGCGATTTGCAATATAGTGGATAACATGGATAGCAAAACGATTTTTAACGATTGTTTGATACACATATAAATTCTTATTGATAGAAATAAGATTATTCTATTAACATGTATATACCGCAACTCCCTTATGCTAAAATCATAAATTTCTATGTACATATTGTACTTATTTAGATCATTAACATATAGTGAATTCAGAGTAAAACATGATACGAATGAGACTTTGCGAATGAGTTTTTTGTAATTAGTTTATAATAAGCTATTTTTATTGTGGGAATTATTTTTAGTTTTATTAAAAGTACGTATCAATAAAATATCATATACCAAGTTTAAAGAACGTTGTGAAAGATGATAATTTGTAGCGTACATACACATGTACAATTATATATAATTTGTGTGTATATGTGTGCGTGTACACATATATTATATATATATATATATATATATATATATATGTGTGTGTATATATATGCATATATAATTTGACATTTTACGCTTTGCACATACATGATTTTTATCCCACATGAATATGGCAATGTAGCTTCATAGCATCATAAAGATCGATATCCGAAGACTGTTCTTATCTGTTTAAAATCATCTTAAACAAGCCTATACCAGAGAGAAGCCTGAGAGAGGCCATCCCGGCCTCATTTTTCGTGGGATCACTCTCAAAACCCTCTGACACTACCGCCAGAAAATGGACTACGTCCATTTTCGATATTGGTACTACGTGGCCACTACGTCCATTTCCGACACTGCCGATAAAATTATATTTAGTCTGCGTCCGTACTACGTCCACAAACTCTCGATATAGAAAAAAATTATAAATAATTTTTAATAATTTCTCGGACCAAAATACTACTAGATTTTATCGGGGGATTTTGACGGTCCCACGAAAAAGGCCGGGATAGCCTCCCTCAGGCTTCTCTCTGCCTATACGGTTATCTTATTGGTTAAAATCTAATCCTAAAACTATCTTAAATATAAGATCTGATTATGAATACTACTCAAAGGTCGCTATTAGCAGCCTAATATTATATATAGAAATTGTGGATGCACATTAAATCCATATAACTCTCATTAAATATTTATAGCATAATAGGAACAATAGTCTCATTTGATATTGGCATTTTTGAGCTGATGATTAAAACCTATTGATATAACTTTACAAGTTATATCAATAAGTTTTATTCCATTTCTGCTGCGTTTTTATTGTCAGATGTATCTGGCAGATGAATATGGCAGACTGCATAATACATAGACTTTGATACATATTTGCTACAATCACAATGGGATAGTATGCAATGTTCGATTTCTGTCGCATTTTTATCGTCGCATTCTGTATCGCAAAAAACTAAGTTTAATGAAAAAAACAGCAATTTGGAATTTGTTGCAAAGTTATGATCAACTCTGTTGGCATACTGCTTTTTGGGTATTTGTTCGATGTGTTTAATTGTTCCGAGATTTTTGGGACACATTTACAATGGTAAATTAGTTAGTTCTCAGTTTTGTTGTTAGAGGGCTACGATGACTAAATGATACTCGTTATTCAAATACTGCCACTGAGACTATATTTAGGGGCATGGTGATCGACAAATCTTAAGATCATACTTCACAGGATCAGTTCTGTAGGAGTCGATCTCATTCTCCCTCCCTAACATGGGAGTCGATGTAACCATGATGAGGAGTTACAGTCCTCTTCTCTGAGCGTGAGAACGACACGAGTTCTCGATCTGTGTTCGAGATCTCTGTCATCAATGATCGTTCACTCTCTGTACTTAGTATAGAGAGGATGGGAAGCAGGACTTTCTGAGTGGTTAACGAATTAAAGTCTAAACTTAATGATTAAACAGGAAATAAACCTATTCCTTTATCATATTATCATATTTAATTTATACGTATTTGCGAACCACAATCCATAATTAAATACATTAAATTTTGATGGAATTTTAATTTCTGAAATGGTATATACATTAAGCTTTTAAAGTAATAACTTTAATTTTTACAGGCGGATATTTGGAATATTCAGATTATGTTTATATTTTAATATTTAACAAATTATAAATTTTACCTATTTTATAATTTCTTCTTTTTTATTTATTTATTTTTCCTCAACATACTTTTATGTTTATTCTTTGGGGTTCTTTTATCATTTTGACTTGATTTATTTTAGTAAAGTTTATACTTTCTTGATTACCAGTAATTTTTATTAAATTTTAATTCAATGATAGCTTTTTGACTATATAATTTTAGAAGTTCTATTTCTACTTTAATTTCCGTTTTCCGTAGAGTACAGAAAAGTTGCAGAATAATTTTATTGAAACATTGCCCCGGTAGAACATTTTTCATATAAGAACATATTTAATTTTTTGTAAAAGAAGCAATACGAAAATTATTCTTTTAATTATTTTTTTATATCTTCTCATTATTACTATTATTTTTTTTACTAAATAGAAATTTTTCCTATTTAAACAAGGCCGTGTTAAATCGAATCGAATTTATTATTGCCTCTTTTCCACGATACCGATTGGTTCTCTCAATCTCGATATCTCGATATGTATGCAACGAAACGAATGTTATTGTGCATTGATAGTTAGACTTATCGATTTATTGAGAGAGGTTATTATTTAATGAATAACTTCTGAAAGAAGAAAATTGTAATAAGGATTTATTACAACAAGATTGTATACCATACATCTCTTCTAAAAACTATAAAATTAATAAATGGCGCGCTCGTACCACGCGCTTGTACTGTTCTAATTTACAAAAAA